TATATATATATATATATATATATATACACATAAAATGCAAATAAATAGTACCTATTTGAGTTACATAATTTGTATTTATTGGTTTTATTTTATTTGATTTGATTGTAAAATACAAATTTTAGCAATAATTACTCATCATTATAGTCCGTTTGGTTACGTCACCAGTCCGAGTTTAGCCCCTAACAAGTGCAGTTAACGTGTAAGTGTGACATATCAGTGCTAGCGGTGTCTGTTGTAGATATAAGTGGCCTGATCAGTCCGTCAGCGCACTGGAGCGATAGCGGCCCGCGGGACTCGCTGCGTAAATAACACAATGTCCATTCATGCAGCAACGACGAGCGTTTTCATACATAAGGAATGACAGGTACTTATCCCTCTTCACTGCTGGGAGAACTAGACGCAAATCAAGAGACAAATCCGACTTCTTCATTCACCGCCGGGCCTAAACACAACACAAGCGCACTCGATGCCTCTCGTCCGGCCGCGGCACCCACCCGCAGCCTATAAATGGACTGAGATGTCCTGCAGGGAAGCCGAACGACAACAAACGGTGAGCTCGCTTCATCAGCCCAATCCCATCCCAATCGGCTAGGACATCTTTACATAGAGTTTGAGCCAACACAAGAGGACACAATCCTCCATTTGGAGACATTTAGAAACACATTTCTTAAAACAGAGATGGTTTATGACTAGTGTGTGAGCAAATACATATTTAGGTAGAGTTTGAGGACAAATTTACCAAAAATCTGTCAAAAACCTCCACTGAGGCCATTTAGATATACATTTACAAAAAAAGAGATGATTTTGGATCATTTGAGCCAATAAAATCTGACAGAAATCTCCATTTTGAGAAATAGAAGCCATTTGGATATAAATGTATTAAAATAGGGATGATTTTTGAACACTTGTAATCTGTCATTTTTAATGTAATCTGTCATTTGTAAATGTAATCCAACAAAAACCTCCATTTATCAAAATCATGATTTTTGATCATTTGAGCCAATAAAATCTGACAAAAAATTTCAATTTTGAGACACTTGGACATTTATATTTATATTATAATTACATATATTTATATATACATTTATTAAAATAAAGATGTTTTTTACTAGTGTGTGAGTAAATACGTATTTAGGTAGAGTTTGTGGACAAATTTACCAAAAATCTAACAAAAACCTTCATTTGGAGACAACAAGGCCATTTAGATATACATTTATAAAAACAGAGATTATTTTCAATCATTTGAGCCAATAAAATCTGACAGAAATCTCAATTTTGAGAAATAGAAGCCATTTAGATATGAGTTTATTAAAATAGGGATGATTTTGAATCATTTATAATTTTGTAATTTGTAATTTGTAAATGTAATCCAACAAAAACCTCCATTTTTAAACCTGGAGGACATTTAAATATAGATTTATCAAAATAAAGATCATTTTTGCTCATTTGGGATCTGTCATTTGTAAATGTGATCCAACAAAAATCTCCATTTGGAGACAGTGAGGACATTTCAATATACTTTTATCAAAATAAAGATGATTTTTGATCATTTGAGCCAATAAAATCTGACAAAAATCTCCATTCTGGGACATTAAGGGCATTTCTATTTATATTATAAATATATATTTATATATATACATATATTAAAACAAAGATGATTTTTGACTAGTGTGTGAGCAAATATGTATATTTTAAGGCAAATTTACCGACAAAAACTGACAAAATTAGACATTTAGATATACATTTCTTAAAACAGAGATTATTTTTGATACTTTGAGCCAAAAAAAAAAAAAATCTGACAAAAAAACCTCCATTTTGAGACATGGAAGCCATTTAGACATAGATTTATCAAAATAGGAAAATTTTTTAATAATTTGCAATCTGTAATTTCTCAATGTAATCTGCCAAAAACCTCCATTTTGGGACTTTGAGGACATTAAAATATAGGCTATATTTATGAAAATAAAGATGATTTTTGACTTTTAGATAGAGTTTGAGGTCAAATCTACCAACAAAATCTGACAGTTCCTCCATTTTGAGACACTGAGGCCATTTAGACATGCGTTTATTAAAAACGAGACAATTTGTGATAGCTTGAGCCCACAAAATCTCAGGATTTGAGCCAATAAAATCTGACAAAAATCTCCATTCTGGGACATTAAGGGCATTTCTATTTATATTATAAATATATATTTATATATATACATATATTAAAACAAAGATGATTTTTGACTAGTGTGTGAGCAAATATGTATATTTTAAGGCAAATTTACCGACAAAAACTGACAAAATTAGACATTTAGATATACATTTCTTAAAACAGAGATTATTTTTGATACTTTGAGCCAAAAAAAAAAAAAATCTGACAAAAAAACCTCCATTTTGAGACATGGAAGCCATTTAGACATAGATTTATCAAAATAGGAAAATTTTTTAATAATTTGCAATCTGTAATTTCTCAATGTAATCTGCCAAAAACCGCCATTTTGGGACTTTGAGGACATTAAAATATAGGCTATATTTATGAAAATAAAGATGATTTTTGACTTTTAGATAGAGTTTGAGGTCAAATCTACCAACAAAATCTGACAGTTCCTCCATTTTGAGACACTGAGGCCATTTAGACATGCGTTTATTAAAAACGAGACAATTTGTGATAGCTTGAGCCCACAAAATCTCAGAAAAAAAAACTCAGTTTTGAGACACTGAGGACATTTAGATGTACATTTAGATAAAACAGAGATGATTTTTGACCTGTGTGTGAATTAGATATAGTTTGAGGACAAATTTACCAAAAAAGAAACAGCCTAAAACCTCTATTTTGGACATTTAGATATAAATGTATTAAAATAATCACAATTTTGATAGTTTGAGCGAACAAAATCAGAGAAAAAACCTTGGTTTTGTGACACTGAGGATGTTTAAATATGATGAGATGATTTTTGACTATAGTCCGTTTGAGAGAAAAATCTGACAGAAACTCCATTTTGAGACCATGCAGATGTACAGTTATTAAAATAGATGGTTTTCGACTAGCGTGAGTTAGTACACATTTAGAGGACACATTTTGCCTGTAGAAGTGAGCAAAAACCTCCATTTGGAGACATCGAGGACATTTAGGTGTACAAAAAAAGAGATGATTTTTGATAGTTTGAGCCAATCAAATCTGACAAAATCCTCCTTTTTGAAGAAATTTCGATACACATACAAGACGATCTTTGACTAGTGCGTGTGAGTTTGTAGTGTGAGGACAAATTTGCCTATGGAAACGAGCAAAATCTGTCAAAAGCCTTCTTGGAGTCATTGAGGACATGCAACTAAAACGTGAAACAATCATCCTAATTTATTCAAATCTGGCATGAGATTATGATGTAAGTGCATAAAGAGGGTGTGGCTTTGAATGACTCCACTGTCAAGCCTCGTTTTATGCAAATCCAGCACAGGATGCACTGAAGACCACACCGCACCGAGACAGCATGTCCAAAAACACAAATCCACCCGGCATGAAATATTCAAACACCCTGAACTCCAATCTCACTCGGATTCATACAAATATAGCACATATTCAAGAGCACAAGCAAGAGTTCAGCCCATGAGAACCCATATTCCGTGTTCCCATCAATGTCTTCAGTGGCTACACAGCTTTAATTTCTCTATTCAGTTCCTATATTTAGTGCATTCACAATAAAGCACAATGCATTAACATGCCAATTCACCACTAAATCAGTGCATTAAGCTATTCTAAGTGCATGAGAACCATCATAAAGACATGCATATATAGAGAGAGCACCCGTTTTGGCGCATGCAATTGATTTCTAAAAGAACTGATGTTCATAAATCATTCATACAATGCAAATACGCGCAGTTTTCTTAGTTTTGGGATCAAACCGTCAACTAAAACCTCTCCAGACTACATGTTGATTTTAATAACCGAGTCCGCTGAAATTGAGTGTTGCTCACTAGTTTCCAGCAGGTGGGTATTTCTGGACCGAATCTCAGAAGATCGCAGAGCCGGCATCAGTTTGCAAGAACAAATCAGATGCATAACCAGACTTTCAATATAAATGCGCTTGAAATCAGATGTGCGAGGCTGGCACGGCGCACGGTGGCATCCATTCTCACTTTACACGAGCGGGGCTTTGAGAGCCTTTGGGCGGGATGATTGTCCCACGGATGAAGCTGGTGGATAACACCCCCCCAAAAAACGCGGAAACCGGCTGTAAAGTCTTGAAACGCGTCAAAAATGAGTTTATTCCTAATGCGCAAAACGCGTCTGGAGCGCAAACTGCGCGCAGGGCACCACCTTCTCCGAGCGCGTGCAGTTCTTCAGACGCTCTTCGTCTGAAGTGCATGCTTTATTCCCACCCGTTCCTGACATTAGAATAAAGTGATTAACTGCTCTTACCTTGTTTTAACGAGCGCGTTCCTGTGTTCTCCGTGATTCTGCGCGCGCAAAACCTCCTTACATCTTCGTGCGCGTCGCGCCAAGGAATAAAGAACGGTAATAATCCAAGGAGAGAGCAGATCCAAGGCGATAGAGAGAGAGCTCCGGGCGCGGACGGCGGCGAATAGCGGTTTAAATCCCCCGGACAGCGCTGCGTCTCGCTCAGCGCGTCTGATTTCAAGCTCCGCTCGGGAGAAACCACAGCTGTGAGCGCTGAGGAGAGCTCGAGGGTGGCGTCATGGACACGCCCACCCAGGCGCACGGTGGCATCCATTCTCACTTTACACGAGCGGGGCTTTGAGAGCCTTTGGGCGGGATGATTGTCCCACGGATGAAGCTGGTGGATAACACCCCCCCAAAAAACGCGGAAACCGGCTGTAAAGTCTTGAAACGCGTCAAAAATGAGTTTATTCCTAATGCGCAAAACGCGTCTGGAGCGCAAACTGCGCGCAGGGCACCACCTTCTCCGAGCGCGTGCAGTTCTTCAGACGCTCTTCGTCTGAAGTGCATGCTTTATTCCCACCCGTTCCTGACATTAGAATAAAGTGATTAACTGCTCTTACCTTGTTTTAACGAGCGCGTTCCTGTGTTCTCCGTGATTCTGCGCGCGCAAAACCTCCTTACATCTTCGTGCGCGTCGCGCCAAGGAATAAAGAACGGTAATAATCCAAGGAGAGAGCAGATCCAAGGCGATAGAGAGAGAGCTCCGGGCGCGGACGGCGGCGAATAGCGGTTTAAATCCCCCGGACAGCGCTGCGTCTCGCTCAGCGCGTCTGATTTCAAGCTCCGCTCGGAAGAAACCACAGCTGTGAGCGCTGAGGAGAGCTCGAGGGTGACGTCATGGACACGCCCACCCACCGCGCTCTCTCGCTCGCTCACCCTTTCTCTCTCTCTCTCGGACTCCGCCCCTGCTTTAAAAGACGCTCGCGTTGGCTCCGCCCATTCAGTAACGCGCTGGCTGAAGCCACGCCTCTTTTTTTAGAATCATCTGAAGGGATGAATCGCGTGAAGAAATGTGGATTTGGATATTTCTCCTCAAATTTTCATTCAGTTAAACTAAATTATTATTCTTTTTGCTTGCTTGTAAATGTAGTTAGTCTCAAAAAGTATTCTCTTTGGACATTTATTAATACATTAATAAAATGTAATTAAATGAATTGTTTATTAGTACCGTAACAAAAATCTTTTTTTTTTCATTGAAATCTGACAATATAGTGAATATAGTGAATAGTATACGATTTAAATAATATTCATATAATTATTTTAATAATTTATTTTATTAATAATTTGTTTTTTACATCACAGTAATGAGAATGAATAGGAAAATAGAATTATAATGTAAAGGGAATGTAAAAAGGCTATTTTTAATGCTACAGTAAATCATATTAACTGGTTAAATTGTACAAATTTATTGTAAACAAAACGGATGATAATAGATTTAACAGCACATTTCATGTGCGTTTATGCAAAATACTGTAAAATAAAACATTAATAAAAAATTTAATTCAATATTTATTAATACACTAATTAAATCATTATTTTTTAATTAAAATCAGCATAGAGACAAAATGCTGTTTTAAAATGCTATTTGAAAAATAATTTGAAAAATACCGTTTTTTTCCTCACTGCATTGAGAATGAGGTTTGATTATAAAAAATAGAATTATAATGTAAATGGATTGTAAAATGCTATTTTTAATGCAAATGAAAATGATGATAATAGATTTAACATCATATTACATGTCATTGTTGTGCAAAATACCGCAAAAAATAATATGTAAATAAAATAAAATATAAATTAATATAGTAACAAAAATCATTCTTTCTGGGCATAATATACATTTTTTTAACTGAAAACAGCATAAATGAAAGACAATACATTTACGATTTCAATAATATTAATATAATTACCGTATTGGCCCGAATATAAGACGACCCTGATTATAAGTAACATTAAATAATGCCATTTATTTTAATGATAATTTAAAAAATGAACAAATTAAGCCTAAAATCCTAAAAAAAAAAACGTAATTATAATATAAAAGGAATATAAAAATGCTACAGTTTAATTTAAATGCTACAAATTAATTGTACAAAAATAAAAATATATATTTAATAGCACACTACACTCTAAAAGATGCTGGGTTAAATACAACCCAGTGCTGGGTAAAATAGGGACAAACCCAGCAATTGGGTTGTTTTGACCCAGCGGTTGGGTTACTACC